TTTTGGTCCCAGCTCTCGAAGGTGGTAAAAACCCAATATACACCCATACAGCAATAGCTCCTAACAATGTACACAGTCCTCCTCCAGGTAAAGCTTCTCGTGAAGGAACAGCATATCATAGTAAGAACTTTCCTTCCTATCAAGGGGGGGGCGGGGGTTGAAAATATGTTTCATTGACCCACCTCTGCCATGGCTCAAACTCCCACTTTGAGTAAGTGGCAATATCTATTTGCACCGGAGGAGCACCGTGTCCGCTAGCCCACTGTCTCTAAAACTGTGAGTGCTATTAGGCCCTGTAGAAAGTATAAATCCTCCAAATGCCCCCATCCCTACTTCTGGTGGCCTCTATGGTCTGTAGAGATGGAATGAAAAAATTTTTTGCCGATGCCTGGTATACAGATGGATCTATCTGGGACAATCCACCCACATGGATTGCAGTTGCTATTCGGCTCAACACTGCCACCATCTGGATGGAAACAGGAATGAACTGCAACAGCCAGTGGGCTGAATCCAGAATGGTTAGGCTGGCGACTGCTCATCAGCTCTGGCTATTAACCCTTTGCACCGACAGTTGGGCTGTTCTAAAGAGTTTAACCCTATGAACAGGACAATGGGAAGCCAAGGGACAGATGATCAGGAATAAGCCCTTGGTGGGTCACGATATATGGGAAGACATTTGGTTCTGCCTGCAAGATCCTGAGGTAGTCCTCACTGTCTTCCACATCCCGGATCGTAAGGCACTGACACCCCTGGCAGTCAGGAAGTTGATGTCCTAGCTCAGATATGAGCACCAGCAACTGACCCTTCAGTAGACACAGCAGATTGAGTGAATAATATTAGGTCACTTCAGTACCAAGGTGAGATGGTATATTGCCGAGGATGCCAGATTGCTCTTGAAATGCAGTGGTTTGGTTGGTTAATGCAGTAACAGCAAGTCGTATGTGTTCTACACAATGCCCAAGGCAAATGCCAAAGGAGTCTGGGGCCATCCGCCAGAGTTCCCAGCCAGTGAGGGATGGGCAAATTGATTATATTGGCCCCCTGCCTCCAAGCGAGGGATCTAAATATGCTTTGGTTTATATGCACACCAAGTCCGGCCTAACCCAAGCTTTCCCCTGTTGCTGTGCAAACCAGGCTGCCACCATTAGGGGATTAGAGAAGCTGAGTACCAAGTATGGATTCCCCCATAGAAAAAACAGTGATTAGGGGTCACATTTTAAGGATCATGATATATAAGGCTGGGCAGAAGATCATGACGTTGAATGGAGGTTCCATTTCTCCCATAACCTGCAAGCAGCAGGGTTAGTAGAAAGGAAAAATATAACATTAAAGCAAAAGAATAAATTACTAACAGGCAAAACCACCTTGGCCACGTGGACTGAAATACTTCCCAGGCTTCAATGCATTTAAATATTCAACCAGTAGGGCCTGTTGCCCCATACACCTGACTAGGGACTCCTGCCAAGACACCCAACACAATAAAGATATGGAAGTCTCAAGAGATAGTCATTGCCCTGATTCTCACTGTGGATCAACGCGTTATGCTGCTGAGAACACCAAGACCCATCACACCTGGAAAAGGCATTATCTACTGGAATTTAAAAATGGAACATCCCACCTGGATGGGGGAGTTACTTCACACCCCTGCTACTCAATGGGGGAACTACTCAGTCTCCACTGGGATCCCCTTGTCCTGCTGCAAGCCAGACCTATGAAAATGCACTATACTTAAAATGAAACACACACCATTACAAGAGGAGAGAAGGTGGGAGTCCTGGCCTGGCATATTCCACCCCCAGTTCATCTCCTCACAACTGACAGTACTGCCTCCCTCTGACAACATATATGGTATGCAAATGCTTTCTACAGTGGGCCCACTCTATGTCCGACAAAGGAATCAATCCAGCTGTTGGGTATATAGCCAGCTGCCTCTCTTTAACTCATCAGGATTACCAAGGTGGGTATAACCACTCCAGGAAGGAAATTAAAAGGCCCTAAAACAATATATTAAGGAAGAACAAGCTAGGACTAGTATTCTTAATTCATCTGCTATTACCAATACTGATCCAGAAACCCGGCCTGTGGCACACACTATCAATAATACTGGGCAGGTATTTTTTTTTCTGTCAATCAAATTACACAGGCAGCCTATCAAACTGCTGACTGGAAGGATCCTAAAAATACCACCATAGAGCCATGGGTGGCTATGCTCAGATTTGGGACAGGTTCATGTGGCTCACCCTGGGTTTTGGACATTTGAGCATCTGGGAACCCCTATGTTGAGAACAGAACAATCACTCTAAACAAAACCAATGCAATTACACCAGGGCTATGGGATGGATATCACCAGAAATATATGGTCATTCTGTCACATTAAAGGATAGCGACTGGTTGGCACTGACTTGTTGCACCACCCAGGTATTTATTGGGTAGGTAGCCCTGAATGGGACCCAATGGTTGTGTGGCACAAATCTTTGGCCATGGCTTCCACTTAGATGGTTGGGCCACTACACCCTGGGTTTTCCCTGCACATGGGGAGAGTCCTCCCCACTGTAACAAATATTGCCAACCTCTCTCCTTAAGGCCAGATGGGCACATTCTGTTTTCCACTGGTAAGATCATTTGGCTACTGTCTTTGTCCTCCTCTCCATTGGCCTGGAGACTTTATGGCACACATAGAAATCCGTAATAATTCGCCCAACAATCCTTAAATGATAGCTGGCAAAGCTTGTCTTTACTGAACACTGAAACATCTCTAATAAGAAAAGCTATCCTCCAAAATAAGATGGCCTTGGATATTATTAGTGCCTCGAAAGGAGGTACCTGTGCCATTATCCAAATAAAATGTATACGCTCACACCTGATGAGTCTGCTAATGTATCATCTTTGTTAAACCACCTAAAAACACAAGTGAACACCCCGAGTGATCTGACCCCTAGCCTAGGGGACGTAATAAATCAATGGTTCAGATCATGGGGCTCTTGATTAAAAAATTGTAACTTATTTTGAAAATCATTATCTTAATCCATGTTTTTTCCTGCATGTGCCTATATTGTTGCTGTGGTATCTGCCTCCAGTGCAGCCAGATAGCTGCCAAATGAGCCACCTCTATGCTAACAAAACCCCTTGCAGGCCTCTCAGGGCACATTACAAAAGAGGGGTCATATAAGATTGTAAGTGCCAGTCACGAGGAGGGGTGGAGTGTTGGAGGAAGTCATCAAGAGGACGTGACCCCCAGTTGACCCACAAGCTGGACTCAGGCAATCAGAGGCTCTGTCCCTCCACCCCTCTCCTAGGAATGTACATTCCGTCCACTGTTCTACAGTGGGAGCCATTTTCAAGGGTGCAGCCTTGAGAGAGCAATGTGTTGTTGAGACCATCGGGATGGTATACATGACTGAACCTAGTTAAGACCTGTATATAAACCTTTAAGATTCTGACAAGCGAGTGCGGAGATCTACTTGTCTTGCTGCTGCCCAAGACAAGTCTCAGATGTAAGTTCCCTTGTTTATTAAACCTGCTGCCTACCAATCTGGAGGGGCCTGCCTCTTTCTTCCATCTCTCCTTGCCCTCTGTGTATGGGGGCCAGTTCCAGATTTCACTAGGGAAGCTCCCAGATTCGCTAATCAACAATTTTATTCCTGAGATAGGTGTGTTTTTTATTTGTGTGTTCTATTATATGGATAAATAATCTGAGTCTCAGAGAACTTGAGTGACTAGGGCAAGGTTAAATAAGTAGCAGTGTCAGAATTGAGGGCTGAATTCTGATCTTCACTTTCAGTATCACGTTTTTTCCATTTTCTCCTCAGTGTTAAGGAGGAACATTGACTACAAACCTTCAGGGCTCTGACATTTAAAAAGGCGCATCCTGGCAAGACAAGTGATAGTGAGTCCTAGGGTCAATCTGGAATACCATTTTAAAAAGGAGGGTCCTGGAGAAATTAGATTAACTTGCGGGGACATGTCATCCTTAACTTGGGCCATGTATACCAAATATATTTTTAAAGATTGTCTTTATGTGTGCCAAACGTTCCACACCACTGGGAGCTATTACACAGATAGCTAGTCTAAGTGGTTTGTACGACACGAGATTGCGATTTAACTTTCTCATATATTTGGAAGGGAAGCTTTTCCTTTTGTGAATATCCTGCAACTCTCACAAAACCAGCCAAGCCTCGGACATCCAGGAGCTTATCTCTTGAACTCCGTGGTTCAATACAGATGCACATCCTATTTTCTTGGATTGGTTGAAGTTTGACATAGATGGGCACACAGCAGCATGACAAAAATAATACTCTTTGGATCCTTTATTTTATTTTTCTTCTTAAAGCAGGTCACACAAAGAATCATTCAGCTAGAGCAAAGGCTCTAGGGCAAAAGCTAGAGCAGATTTCAGAACTGCTTCGGAAACTGCCAGAGAGGGCACACCAGTGTGAGAGCCAGCGCCAGAGAAAATGTCACAGCATGTGCTAGATGAGCACCCTCCTTTCCCCAAGGTGGCATCAGGGTCCTGGGCTTTGTTCTCTGAAGTTCTATTGCAACCTGTCCAAGGCCGCCTGAACTTAGTACCCGGAGCACCTCTTTGTGGGGCCATCCATGAGTGAGACAGAAGCACCAGCTTTGTGACTTGGAGGTGGCTTCTTGTTTCCCAAGTTAGTAAGCAGAGCCTCCTGATGGCATGTGAACATGCTCAAGCCAACCACAAGATAGTAGAGACTGAGGTTTTAAGCCCTTGCTAGAAGGCAGAGAAAGAGGAAGTTTCCTCAGGGCTTAACAGCCTGTCCCTCCCCCTGCTAATTTTTAACCGCACATTTTCCCCATTAAATCAGAATTGATGAAACCTATGTGTGAGTTTGAAAATTGAAAATCACATTGAAAAATAGTGATGTTGTTGACTATACAAGGCAATTTCTTCAAATCGAGTAATGATGTGATGTGTGTGGTTAACCGTATCTACGCAGGAAGTGGTTTTATTTAAAAGTTTTTGTGCTCACCCCTACCCCCTCCTTTTTTTCTCCGGTACTGAAATTAAGCAGCATCCAACAGAGGCCTACTCTTACGACATGTGACTACTTTACTGTTTTCCGTTTTTGTTGAAAGAGTCATTAAGAGTTAGAAGTTGATGGCCGTTTCAACAACAAGTCATCACCGAGAAAAGGTGAGTTTTAACTTTATATTGAACGTGAAATTTAAACTTGAAAATATTTGGCAGAGTATCTTCTGCTTTGGTATGAACATATAAACATTTCTAAATGTTTTCACCTGTGATTGAAACATCAGTTTATTTCCTTTGGTACAACTGTCAAATTCTAAAGTCCTTTCAAAGATATTATACTAGGATCATTTGCTAAGATTTTATACTAAAATGTTAAAGACAGATAAGGTACAGTTTTAGTTTGAAAGTGATTTTAAAAATAACTACTAGAGAAAACGTGGCACTTTGCATCTTTAATTGATTGTTTTATAAAAATATCTACTATTCAAGATCTAGATAATGAAAGAGGAAAAGGCAGTGTGCAACAATAAGAAACAACGTCTGAATTGCAGTGTGCAAGATACGCACAGTCAAGTGTTATATTAAAGTCACCATTAGAAACCCTCATAAAGGTGTAATTTATTAAATAGCTATTAAAAAGCCGGAAAGTTTTAAAATGCAAAAGAAAGCTCTCTATTATGACATTTGAATATTTTTCTCCTAAATTTTATCTAAGATATGATGTGAGGTGAAGACAAGTTTCTGTTTCATAAGCAAAACTCTGTGTTTAAACGAGAAGTCACAGCTCACTTCACCGAAGGCTACTTCTGGGAAGAGGCAAATTAGAGATATATTTTTGTTATTTATGTAATTATATAATTTTCCTTCTTTGAGATTTTCCAAAATAGTAACCTTAGAAATGAAAAGGACTTGTCAATCATAAAGTGACAAGAACTTTTCTTTGCGATTGACTTCTTGCTTTTACAAAATGTCTTTGTGTGCTGTAACATATGTACAGAAAATATAAAAGTATTGCTAATCTTGGAGACAAATCCCTAAAATAAATCAGACTGTAGGTTTTTGAAAGCATTTTAATAAAAGCTCCAGATATGATCCACTCTTCTCTAATATTATTTTTATTGTGCTGTTGGATGGGGGAAGTGATGGCCCCCACAACACCTATCTTTTTGTTATTAGAAAATTGTTACAGGGTTGATAAGTGGCAACATTTTTCTTTTCTTTTATTGTCTTCTATTGAAAGACACATATAAATGTTTTTTGATGTGGTCAATTTAGTGGGAAATTATTAGGCATACTGCTATACTCTGTTTTAAGACCTCTTCAGTTGTCAGCACTGAAGCGAGCTACTTGTTGACTATTAAAATGATCATGAAAAAATAGAGATTAGGACTTGGTGTTCAACACATTTTTTATTGTTAGAGTGTAAAAAGACCCCAGTAATATGTATTTGCTTTGATATTCTGATTAGCTTTTCAATTTGTTGCATTTTCTCACAATGGAAAGCATTATTTAAATCTGTCTTCAATATTGTGGTTCTGAACCTCTGCATCTATAGAAGCTGTATAATTCAGATAGTTTTGGTTGATATGTTATTAGTTTATTTCATTTTATTATAAAAGAACATCACATGAATAAACAGATGTACTACTTACACATTAGCAAGAATGAATGGCCACATAAGCATTTGGCACTGACAAAAAGTCCACTATAGTTTCTTAAACCATTTGATACTTCTAAAAGCCAAATTCTTTGTAAAATAATTGTTCTTGTAGAAACTATCAAATGAAAATACAGATATTTTATGGAGTGTGTGTAAAATTAAGAATTAATTAGACATAGCTTAGTATGGATTTATAAAGAGCAAAAAGTAGAGATAATAGACATGTAAACTAAGATATCCTCAGAATTATTTCTAAAAACAAGTAATGCATTACCTCTTGAATGTATAGACCAAATCTTAAGAGACTCAAATTACAAATGATTATATATTTATACATTTTAAGTGAATAAATAAGAAACAAATTTTGGTGAAATTAAAACAATGCAGAGGATCTGATTTGGAGAATCATTTAAAAGCTGATTTATTAAAAGAATATCATGTTTTTCCACTTGGGGCCAGCATTCTGCAAAACTCAGAAAGGAGACATTGTTTTCCTTGATATTCTTCCTCTTGTTCTTTTTTAATGCTCTGTTCTGGAGTGGCCTCCTCTGTCCCTAATTTAAGGTCCCTCAGCCTCGGTACATGGAGGGATAGACCCTACTTCATTCCTTCCATCCCACTGCCATTGTACTTAAAACTTACTCATTCTACTTCTCAGCAATTAGGGCAGCTAATAAAAGTAATCTATGCTCACAGGAGAAGGCTACAGAACTTTGTTTCTTTTAACTTCTTAGCCAGGCCTCCCCTCCTCCTCCCAGGAGAATTTTAATATGGTCTCTCAGCAGACAGGATCGAAAAGAACAGCTAAATGTTGAGGACTTCTGTCTCAAGTGAGAAGACTGATGGCATGGCAAATAGGGGGAAATATTTTGGAGCAGAAAGAGTGTTTTGTGAACAATTGGTTCTGTCTGTAGTATTTAAACACAGAATTTCAGAGAATGTCTTATATGGAGAGTCCATCACAGAGATGTGTTCATTTCTCTAAGATATTCCTGAGGAAATATACATCTTTCTTGCAGTAGATGAAAACTAATTGCACTAGATCTTCAGACTATTTTGGTATTCTCATACACTTAGAAAATATTTAACAGAATCAACTGTGTTACATACAAATTTTAAAAATCATTTAATATCCTGAATTTAAATCTTTGGATAGCAGAAGCATATTTTTTACACTGCAAAAAATGTTATATAGCTAGACTTTAAAATGTACTTATAAGTATTCTAAATTTCAGCTCATAGTAGACAAAATTTCTTTGTTTTCAAATGATAGAAAATGAGTTAAAATTAGCCTAGGCAATAGAGATAGGCATTGATTTGTGTAACTGAAAAATCCAAAGAAAGCAAAGTCAGGCATGGCTGGATCAAGGAGCTCACACAGATTTATCAGAATTAGGTCATGTTTTCTTTATTCCCTCACTCTTTTTTTCACTGTGCTATAAGAAGTCTCTGGCAGAAGCTCAAACGGATTTAGCAAGAAAGCTTCAGGTTTACATCTGACCCTTTCAGAAAACTCTATTGCAAAAGAATACCTTTCCCCTGTCACCACAGCCAAAGTCTCAGACTGAGATCTGATTGGACTGAATTGGGTCACGTGACCATATCTGAGCTGATGATTCACTCTGAGGCACAGACCCCCCCAAGTGACCAGGCCTCAGTTGCAGGCCAAGTCTAGCGTTGAGGAGCCGCCTGCATCCACGACACACGGAATCTCAGCTGAAAAGAGGGTTTTCCACACGTAGAAATTAAAATACTTTCCCCAGAAGAAAGGTGACTTCGCTTCTCATAGGGAAAAGCCACACAATGCTACTACACAGCCACATATGGTCACATTTAAAATATTACTTATTCATATTCTCCAAACTGTATAATCAGAAAGAAATATGGTGTCAGTTTAAGGGTAGGTCTGAATAAAACGTGTTTCAATTAAACTGAATTTTAAAATATTTTTCAGCAGCTATTTCATGTATGAACCCTCTCCACAATACTTGTCTTCTAAAAGCTTATAACCTAGTATGACTATTATGTTAATAATTATTTGCAAATAAAATTTGTCAAGTACCATAAACAGATAAAAGGAATGCTGTATTATGGTGCAGAAATTCATCGAATATTTTTGTATTCCTTTTATGTGCCAGGCAATAAACTAGAGAATTTTGCAAGTGTTATATCATTTGATCATATCCTATCAGAGAAATCAGGACAGTTTTGGAGAAAATGTTAGTAGTAGTATTTAGAGAAAGCTAGGACTGGGGAGATGAGAAATATTCCAAGGAACAGGAAGGGGATACGTTAAGGCAGCAAAACATGGAATATCAGAGAATTTCCAAGGAAGAGTTGTCTGGTTTTGTTAGCTAGAAGTATGGTGGTAGGAGGAAAGGCCAGATTTGAGATCCTAATAGAGTGGACCTGCTGAGCAGATTATGACTAAGGGTTATAAGTAAACAGGATTGTTGAGCAGAGGAAATACGTAACTGGATGTCTGGATTTTGCATCTTGATGAGCTATCTAGTGTCAGGATTTATTTGCTTCTTCCATATTCCTCACCATTGGTGACATACCCTTCAGAGTGGTTTGCAGAAATGGTCCCAGTCAATGAAGGGAGGTATTCCTGTAAGACCAGGCACTGGCTCACCTCCCCCGGTGCCTTGGGGTTCTTGTATAGGCTGTGGTTATAATAATCTTTTTACTTTCATTTTATGAAAGTCTTTTTTGTTTGTTTGTTTTGTTGTTTGTTTGTTTGTTTTGTGAGGAAGATCAGCCCTGAGCTAACATCTGCCAGTCGTCCTCTTTTTGCTGAGGAAGACTGGGCTTCTTTTTGCTGAGGCCCTGGGCTAACATCTGTGCCCATCTTCCTCCACTTTATATGGGACGCCGCCACAGCATGGCTTCACAAGTGATGCGTCGGTGCACGCCCGGCATCCGAACCAGCGAACCCTGGCCCTCGGCAGCGGAGGGCGCGCACTTAACCGCTTGCGCCACTGGGCCGGCCCCTTGTTTTTTTGTTTTTAATTTGAGAATAGGTGATACAGCAAGATGGTTCAAAATCAAAATCAAACCTAAATATAAAATTTTTAGAGAAAATCTTGCTCATATTCCTGTTTCCATATACCCTCTGTCGCCCCCACCTTAACAGAACAACCACTTTTCATAGCTGTTTTTTTAAATCCTTCACAATTTATTTATGCAAAAAGCATATATGCACATACATATGTGTGTGTATATATCCTCCTTTATTATATTAAAGGAAGCATACTGTACATACCTCTCCACTTTGCTTTTTTTCTTTTAGTAATGTCTTGGAGATATTTCCATAATAAAAATAAGAAACTGTCTAATTCTCTTTGTTTATACCGTACAGTATTCCACTGTGTGGATGCATTATACTTAATTTAACCAGTCTCTTATTAAAAGAGTCATGGGTATTTTCAATTTTTTGCTAAAACAATGAATGTTTTAATGTAATCATGTAAATTTGAAAATATGTCTTTGGAATGAATTC